TGCCAGAGAGACAAAAAAACATGCTCCATAATTCTGAGGCCACCTCACAATGAAGAAGAAGGTGTCTCCGTCTTTCAATTAAGTTATAGCATTGGAAAGTAAGACAAACAAATTGAAATGGAAGGAGTAGAAATTATGGTCTCTCAAGAAGAATACAGTTTGGTGAATTCACATGATAAGATGCATACAGCCCAATCATACACCAAGTAATAATACCTCTCCAAGCTGCTGAGCTTTTGACGTGGCTTCAGATCTAGCTCTAATCATTTCCTCCTGAAAGAAGAGTATATAGGAGAGGTATTAGAAATTGTATCCGACCGTACAGATTTCAAAAGTTTGGAGTTGTGTCTTTATCAAGAGCATGATATCTACACCTAATAGCAATAAGTAGAAAGGAAAACAGCGGAAACAGAAAAGAAATTAACCGCAAAAGCAGACGATTTGGACCTGCCTTATATAAACAAGTGTTAAAGGCAGGTCCACAGCAAACGAAAAAGAACAAACCAAACACAACATTCTATCTGAATTTAAGATTATTTTTTTTGCTTTATGGATTTAGGACTATTATCACAAGTCATGAATTATTTGACAACGTTCAGATTTGAAGTGTGATTAATGGCTCAAATTTGACTGGCTTTTAGCAGCTAGCTTTATATTTTGTGTGTTGATTTGTGTTAAAAACTATTTTTGGAAGAGTAAAATTACATGTTGGGCATTGAATTGTGTTAAATTAGTAAGTGTTGATCCTCCTTCAAAAACAATTGTTGATTCGTAATTGCTGAAGTCTTAAATCCTAGTGCAAAAGCCCTTAATATACAAAGAATAGTCTCATACAACTTGTGTAATTCTATGCATAATGACATCTGAACTTTTATAGGCTGCTGAAATTCTTGCCAAGGAAGGAATTAGTGCTGAGGTATGACTCCTGAGAGTTCATAACTAGTTTTGCTTTTATACTGGTAAGCACAAAAAAGTTCCTGCTTTTCACTTTTTCTCTTCTGTAATCAGGTTATAAATCTGCGCTCAATCCGACCACTTGATAGACCTGCTATTAATGCATCTGTGAGGAAAACCAACAGACTTGTAACTGTTGAGGAAGGATTTCCACAACATGGTGTTGGCGCTGAAATCTGGTTACTCTCTTCTAACAGTCTTAGAACAAACTTGAGCTGCTTTGTTATTTTGTTTTTGTTTGTTTGTTCACCAAGGTAAAGCTCCTTTGATATCAATGAAACTTACCGGATTACATTTTCCTAATCTTACTAGTGCATCTGTGGTTGAGGAGAGCTTTGAGTATCTTGATGCACCGATTGAGAGGATAACAGGTGCTGATGTTCCTATGCCATACGCTGCAAATCTTGAAAGACTGGCTGTTCCACAGGTCTGTAGTCAAAGATTTTCTTTGGTTCTCAGCAATTCGGCTTTTATATTTTATTAATCATAAACTGGTGGTTTTTTTAGGTCTTTAATAGTTCATAAATTTTAGATGTTAAAAAAAAATAGTTCATAAATTTTGGTTTGATTCTAGTTATGACCTTATATTTTGTAGAATCCTTCATCTCCCCTGTCTTGATGTACTTGTGTTGAAACTCAAATGCATGTATTGCATGGGTATTTCAAGAATCTTGAAAATACACTAAAAATTAGAAAAAAGCACCGGTCATATCAGGGCCAGATATTTTACACACATATATCGGAGACCTATCATAAATAAGTCCATGTAACATAGATATGGTTATTGTGATAAAATGGTATGTATAGAAATTAACTGGATGAAAAAAAATGATCCACACGTCGTTGAGCTTGGAACTCTCCGGTGTCTGTAGATGATTATATCATGTTGAATTAGGGTCTGAACATCCAAGAATGACATCTCTTGGATAGGCAAGTATTCAGTGGTCCAAGGTCTGGGTAAATTCTGACTATTTGCCAAATAATGAAATGTGCAAAAGGTTGTCCATGAACCATGTTATATGAGAGTAAATGTATAGGCACAGCATATCCACGAGATAGTGTTGTAGAAATGCAGATCATAAAGATGAATAGGTGGTTATACAAGATTGGACATGATAAACAATGATCACATCCTACATAGGGTGCAAGTATCATACACACAGGATAAAATGAGGGAATGCCCTAGGATAGATGTTTAGTGACCTTTCTGTTGGTCTAAACACAGAAATGTACTTACTCTTGATTCATTTATTTTGTACTTACTCTTGATTCATTTATTTTGTTAGCCACTTGATTAAATTTAGAGATCAAGTCATCAAACAAACCATGAACAGGAGCTGATATCTTTGCTCAGCTGCTGGTATTATCAGCATCCCATGGATGTAAATTAATGAAGCACACCTCACTTTACTTGATTAAAAGAAAAAAGAGAGAACGCCTGAGATAGTTTGATCTTGTCCTACTTGGACCTCTAATATGTACCCGTCTGTAGGTGAGGTACTCCAATGATTGACAGTTATAGAAAGAATAAGAGGTAAACTTAAAATCATATGGAGGAAATTAAGTCAAAAGACATAATTTCTTAGAATAAATATGGATTTGGTTAAGAATATAATGGAATCAAAAGATCCATATAAGGCAGATCATTGGAAATAAAATTTACTTGTTTTTATTATGCTTAAACTGGGTCAGTGTTTGCCAGGATTTTTCTTAGTTTGGGTACAGACTTGTCTGTTCGTGCAGGGACAATAGTTAGATTTAAAGAACCTCTTTACTTTAGAAGACATTATTTAGTATTGGTATGAAATTTTTTTTGATGACAAGGGAAACCCACAGTCGCTATCCTTTTGGGTGCGCACAGGGTAAAACCTCCGCTCCTATGCAATAGCTTGCAAACCACATAGGAGAGGTAACCCGCACTAGGCAAGCCCGGTGCGACGAGCTCGACCCAGAAGGCAAACCCCTTGCTTTCGCTGGCAAGGGGTTTTGAACTTGAGACCTCCAACATGGAAGTCCCAAGCCCAAACCACTGGGCCACCCCGAAATTGATATGAAATTGATCAGCATAGAGCTGAATGAATACAAATGTTTGTATTCTTGATCTTAACTAACTTTGGAAATTGAGACATTGTTGATTAATTGATTGACCAATGGAATAGTGCAATGTGTCTCCCGGAATATCAGTCTAGGAGAAAAAATTTGGAGAGTAGTTGGAACAAGTTACCGGAGTTTCAGTATGATTATCTTAAAGTCATATATCGTGTCCATGCAAATACACAAATAATGTGCATGAAACTTGAAGGTATAAAGAGGTAATACCTGAATAAAACAATGAAGAATACTTCTTCCCATATTTTATTGGTGAATTGCATTTGAAACTAGATGTTCCATGTTGTCCTTCATATGAACACATTCATGATGTGTTTGAATTTTCTGATACAGGTAGAAGACATCGTTCGTGCAGTCAAGAGGGTTTGTTACCGATCAAGTAAATAAATCAGTTCCAATGGCTGCAGCTGCTTAGGCTTGGTCCAGCAAGGTCTTGATTGATCCAAAACATTTAACTTCTTTTTGTGGATATCAATTCTTTACCCGCCTATGAGCGTATGCTTTCTGCCATCTTCTGGAAAGTTTAATTGACTGTAAAACCAGCCAAACTGGTAAACTAACGAATGAAATCTGCTGCCACACGAGGAAATAGTTCTTGTAGAAAATAATATTTACAGCTTCTTTCCTTTTTTTGGTGATACGTTCAAGAAAATGATGTTACAAGAGAATACATGCGTTCTGCTGTGCCAATGATTAAAGTTTCTTCTTTGTCCAATCATCTCTAACTGCTGTTGTTGCTATAAAATGTTAAAGGGAACACCAACTCCAGGTGGATCAGCAACATGGCTCCTATTTATTTAATATATCTTCTTAAAGTAGTTTAGTACTTCTAGTTTAAAATTTTAAAATCTGTTGAAATTTACTTGCTTTTGAACTATGTAAAGTAACTTTAGTATTTTCTTCCACTACTCTAATTCAATGTAACTAAACAGTGTAACAATTTACCAAACAAGGTTAGTTCTTCCATAGTCTAAATAAAATAGCATACTTACTAGCTTAGGGTACATTAACTTGATTTCTTCACCTTGAGAGGGAGTCAGCTCCTAAAATACAAGCAGTCAAAGGTGCATACACTAATTTAGAAACCTTAATCACAGTTCACAGCCACTATGTCGATAAACAAGGTAACAATCAAAATATTTACAATATCTAACAGAAGTTCAAACTGTAGGCAGATTGCGGAAACAAGCTCTTCTTCCCATACTTGCACAGACAAATTAAAGTAAACGTAATCTGAAGCAACCGCCAAACTATGTCATGAAACAGGAAATCTTCGCAGAAACAAACCCCAGAAGAAAGAAAAAGAAAATTATATCATCGACACCAAAGAGAAACAGTTGTTACATCAGGATTCAACCAAATTATGCTTGAAATTGGCTTAACAGAATAATAAACTGGGCTAGTACTTTTACCAACTTTTTGCAACAAAAAAGAATATGACACAACACTATCAATCTGCTAAATTAAGTGAAAACAGCTACACCTCAATCCCAAACAAAAGTAGGGAGTAACTATATAGATCCCCACTGTCTATTATCTCAGATTAAGATCATCTCGATCCAATATTATACATTATTAGTTCAAAAGAATATACATCACTAGTAGATGGTATTATTAAAATTTTCTTTGTCAAGAAAAGTAAATATATTGATTACCTGCAACAAGATGGTTGTATAAAACTTGAAGATGATAGATAGAATTTAAATAGAAAAAAAAACTGTAAGGAGTATGTAATGCAGTTCTAAGTTTCAGAGAATAAGAGGTTATAATACAGTAATTTAGCAGAATAAATTTACAAAAGAAGACAGCATTAGGGAAGCTTAGGCTGAACTATTTAAATAACATTTCACCCGGAAAGTCCAATTCCTCCCCATGTTTCATATGCAATTTGCTTGATATTGTAAAAATGACATCAGAATCTTCACAGGATGTGAAGCGATGTCAACAGCAAACCATAAAGGAGACGGAAACAAGATTGCCAAGCAACAGTATTAACTGAGTGACTCTATTCTGGTCATCAGCTTTTGCTGGAAGGCTATAATTGTCTTATCAAAATATGAGTTGCAGTAGAAGGGTTCTAGCTGGACAACAGCTTTTCAAGTGCCATGTTTTCATCCCAACCATTTGCTTCCAAAGTACTCCTCACTTGAGCTTCAGGAAAGCCCATTTCCACAAGCTTTTGTATCTGGGGAATTAATTGTACTCATTCAGTAGCATATTTGGACGCTGTTAATAGATCTTGAAAGAACCGCAGAAAATACAATATCTACCATGACTTCACAAAAAATTTCTGTCTACTGTGAGTAGCCAGCAGCAACTAAAACTAAAAGCGGAAACAAAAGCATGTAAGAATTGCACACCTTCTCGTCTGCGGCAAGTGTGGATGTTTTTGCAAAAGTTTCAGTCCAGTAACGAGCTGTGCCGACAAAGGTCTGATGGTCTCTAAGATACTGCAACAGCAAGAAGTAGAGTGATCAGCAGAAAAGAAAGTTGGTGAAGGAAGAAGGGATGCAGGACACAAATAAGGTCAAGATTCAAAGGGAGGGGGGGGGGGGATAATACTGTATGTATGAAGCACCTGTTGTGCAACAACTGCATCTTGTGGATCATCAGGTTCAGGAGCAGAAAGTAATGCTTGTATAGAAAGGAGAGCTGTCTTGAGAGTTAGCGCTGGGCTCCACTGGTCCTTCAGGATGTCTAGGCATATTGCTCCACTTTGACTACTTATGTTGGGATGCCTTCAAAGGGAATTTAATACATAAAAGCACTTGAATCATAATTTCACTAGAAGGGAACAAGAAAAAAGACCTTTATCATATACATTAAAGGGACTGCTTTGATACTCCAATTGGATACAGTGTGGTGTGTTCAAGGCCTATGTAAGAGACAGTTGTTTGGTAGTGAATATCCTGCTATAAAAATATCACTCTTAAGGATGTTTACATTGCTCGTACTCTCTTTTGGTGTGATAACTGTGGTGTCATAGCCAGCTTGACACCTCGGTTAATTCCACGCGATTTGAACCTGAGATCTCATGGTTGTCAACCCACTTCATTGATCACTAGCCACACCCTCGGGTGGCACATTGCTCGTGATTTTGGTGGTTGGTGTGTACGGGAGCAGAGGCTGTGTACAGTGTGATGGGGTATCTGTGGCTATCAATTCTATGGTGAAAAACTGAAAATACAGGTTGAATGATAGATGTGAGAGAGTTTTATGTTTAATCTCCAGTGAAATGACCATAATGATCTCTGTGCTCTGCTAGTGTCTTTAATATTAAGGAAGCAAAATAGAGGAGTTCCTATGATATATTAGGTGGCCATCTGAAACCAGTTATTAATTGCATATGCGTGGAGAAAGTGTAGGGCACTTAAAAAAACATAAGAGATAATGATAATGTCATGCTTGTGGTTCCTTGAGAAACTATTTTAGGACAAAACAGTAGCAACACTGAACACACCAAGGCAATGCCAAGTATGTGCAAGTGGCTTTCTCAGCGCTGGTGAGTGGTGATGCTAAATATTGACTCAAGTCTTGTGATTAAATTATAGTTCAACAGTGAAAAGATTACCTATTGAACCTATTTGATGAAATTGAAAACTTGGTTAAGTGACATACTCAAGCCCCACTAGAGGAAGCTAGCCTAACTTTAAACAAGTTTTCATCAGAGCATATTCAAGTAAAGATTTCATTTTTTTTTGGGTGGGGTGGGGGGCTAGGACAACTTGCTGATGTTAAACAGGAAAACTTCTTCAATTATACGTATAGAACACGTAACAATAGTGTGAAGAATCTAGGCTTAAAGTTAAAGAGTACACTAGAGGTTAGAATAAAAGGATAGGGCTAGGTCAAGTGGCAAAGGGTGAAATGTGACTTTGGTTACAAGTTCGAGCCTTTCACCATACTAACTAAGCTGGGTATTTAAGTGGAGAAGGATAGACGGGCGGGCCTATTGTTCCCATGTCTACGGTTGATCCTAGGAGTTGGCACCACAAGGATTTCTTGGTAAAAAAGAAAAGAATAAAGAGTATGCTAGACTTAATCAAATTGCGGAGGAAGTCCATTTTAACACTGTTTAACCTGGGAGACACAATTATATTCGCAGACACAGATGCATAACGAGTTTAGAACTCAAAAATGGAACTCTCGTTAAATAACTTTTGAGCATTTAATAAATGATTATAAACCTCAGTTTACTAGGAGGAATATTTTGGTTCTAGAATCCTTTCATCACCCCCCGCTCACCAACCTCCCACAACTTAAATTTATATTGGATGATTCTAAATTATCAAGTAATATAAATGCTCTGATGCTGACTACATCACTTGAGTCCACTATAGAAAAGTGTAAAGTAAGGAAATTATGAGTTGTCAATATTATACAAGAGACGGTACCATAGTTGCAATCATTAACAATTCAGCAGGTTATTTGCAATTTGTTTATTCCTTCCTATTACAATCTAAGTTAGCAGTTCAATGTATGAAATGTTGTACATGTATTGCTTCAGTTACCACAAAGGAGAAGAAAGAATAAAAACAGGTGACAGAGCATGTATGTTTTCTCATACCAAACTTTTGTGGCGAATTTCATTTTTGGAGGCTCAAATGGGTAGCCATCTGCAAAGACAAAGCTTCTTGATTTAGGAGGCATACATTAAAACAGAGTTACTGCTAACAAACTTTAGGGGTCTCCCCATTTCAAGTGTCTGACTGAAAATTCATGACAAGTTAAGGGGTGAAAATAGCCTCTATCAAAAATGGTAATAGTTGTATTCATAAACAACATAAAGATAGTGCTGGAATTTTCTGCCTAGACTATCTAATCCTTATCAAAATAAGATTGAGCTCCTCCAGAAAGTACATTTTCTTTTCTACAGACACGAGGAAACCTCGGCCCTTTTACCTTGTCATGTTTTTTACCTACCATCAAGCACTCAAGATGATTTTCAGATGTCACCAACAATGTGAGTAAGCGGACTTTCACCTAGATTTCAATACCTATACAAGTTTGTTTTCAAAATGATTCATGCAAGGAAGCCAGTAATAGGAGGTACATATTTCAGTACCAACAGTCGGAAGACCCTTTGGGTTAAGCATATTTTGATAACAAAGAACAGCTTTGAAATATGAGGATCAACACCTGACATTATCAAAACAGCAGAAATAACCCATACAAAAACTGTTGTAAATTAAGAAAACACCAGAGGTATACAATTAATATGTCAAAATAAAAACAATAAACAGTGATCCAACCCATCTCCGTTCAGGTCTATATACTCGTTTTAGCTCTTTTTTTGCCCATTAAGGAAAACAATAAATACAAGGTATATAGTTTTAAATAAAAGCAGATTTGATTTCTTCTTCTTCAATATTGTGCCATTACGGGTATAATTGAAATCAATTGCCAACTTAATCCTGAATTCTTTTTTAGTTAAAATGGCTGTTCACTATGACAATGACATTGAACCCCTTCCCATACACAACAAATTAAATAAAGAAACAAAATCTATCCGTAATTCTTTCTTATGCCACACTAACTGAAAAAGATTCAATTTTTACCTAATAAAGCCTCAATAACACACACCCATTTATTGATACACTGATCCAAATTCAAAACCCTAGAACCCCCAAAAAAAAAAAAAAAAAAACACAAAACCCCACCTTCAAAATTCGTATAAAAACAAAAATCCCCTTTTAAATGTATCCTATTAATGTAAAACGATTAAAAAAATTAGGTTAAGAAGCGATTGGCGAGGGTTTACCAGTAAGAGTGATATCGATCTTGAAAGTACCGCCTTCGTAAGGAGTACCAACAGGACCAGGGATTGTACCAATCAAGTGAGTGAGACTGTCACCTTTAAGGGTAACATTAATTCCAGAAACCTGAACATCTCTGTTGCATTCATGGAGCTCCTTTTGAACCCTAGCCAAGTCCACCATTTTTTTCCTCTCTTCCAATTTGATTCCTAGTTTGGTTTATGCAAAAGTCGCCACTGCTTTTTGTTGGAAGATGGGCTGAGAAAGTGAGGAGGGTAATGGAGTAAAGTGAATAAGATTTTGATAAATAAAAGAGAGGGCAAAAGGGTCAAAAATAGTCTGAAACTATTGAAAATAGAACAAAAAGGCCCTTTGTTTAGTTTTTTTAGTCCGATAATGCCCCTTAAATATTACTTCGTAAACGTGGATCGTGGTGTAGCGGTGAGACTATTTTCACCCTTAACAAGAGATTTCAAGTTCAAACTCTTGATATACTATGAAAAAAAATAATTGGGAGCGTCACCCTCAAATGGGCTCTGTAGTGGCAATTCAAATTTAATTTGAGGCTTCAATATGAGCTCCGAAATCGAATGAAAAAAAAAAATTGATTCAATTTATACCTATTCGCCGTTAACGGACTTCAAGTTTGATGTGTATTTTTTATTTTTTTTTACTTGTAATAGACTTCAACTTGGGAAAAAGAATATTCCACTTATTTTTTTTAGACTATTTTTTTTTTGCCTTTATTAAAAATGTACCTTTTGTTCTTTTTAACTTTTTCTACATAGAAGGTAAGCATATATGTGTGGCCTAATTGTTACTATTAATAAAATTTATTTTTAAAAAAATTGAATTCAAATTTCAACAAGAAAATATAAGGAGTAATTATTTTCATAGATGTCTATTTTTTTAGAGGATAAACTTTTTTAATAATATATTCAAGTAACAGAGTGACCAATAAGCCAACAAAAGAAAATATGAACTACTGAATACATATCGATAGATGATAACGGGGTTCTATAAAATAATTGATGGACATATGTAACCCCTTTTGCATAAAATAAATAGTATGATCTTGAATTTTATAAGTAGACTTTTAGATATATTTTTTTAATCAATGTAGTTTGACATTTGATATTTATCACATATTATATTTTTTTAAATTATTATTGATGTTTACCATAAAGTCTACCTATAATTGTCGTTTAAATATAATGTGAATTATTTTTACACCATTATGAAACTTATACTCAAGGAAATATATAGCGTAATTGCTCTCACCCTACTCAGTGGCGTAGTCAGAAATTTCACAAAGGGTGTCCAGAAATAGCACAATAAAAGCTCTTTTCAAAACGTAGAACTAGATGAGATTCAAACACACGATCACTATCCCATTTCAAGGAGGTGAAACCACTGGGATATAATAGCTTGTTGTGTTAAAGGTGTCCAAAATATTTTATTTAATCATTTCGTGTATCATTTTGCTTGTATTTATGATAATTTTTTTCCGACGAAGGGTGTGCCCTACTGGCACATATATATTGGTGCTAATGCTAATAATTGTTGGCATAATTTTATTCAATTAAAGATATAAATAATGTATTAAAATGTTCACTAAAATTATATACAATGCATGATCTTAAGTACAGTATAATACAACTATGTGATATTGAAATGTTACTTGATGAAAAGATTCTAATGAGACATTTCATCTCCCATATAGAGATTGTTGAACTACTTTTATTATTTTTTCCTTAAATTCAAACCTTGGTCTTCCCTCACCAACCAACGTGAATGAATATTTACCTCATTTTCAAGCTCAAATCTGAGGCCACTAATTTCAACATAGATGCATCGTATCTTCCCAATTCCTATTGAACCACATGAACCTTTCGTTCACCTTGTTCATGAGTATTTTAAGTGAAAATGCTTTTTGCTAGCACCTTTCTAGTGTTAATAATAGTTGTGATTTTTCTGTGTCAAAATTGAGCAGCTAATTAGGTAACCAAAAATATGTTTCCAATCCGTACAACATCGATCACAACTTTTTGGTCGTCAATTTTGACTCTATTGCCATTTTCTTTTCATTTTTTCATTAATTAACACACATTAATTTACTTTCTCCATACTTGTTTGTTTTTTCATTATTTTTAAGTCACAAAGCAAAAAAAAAAAAAAAAAACTTTCAATTTTTGGTCGTCAATTTTGACTCTATTGCCATTTTCTTTTCATTTTTTCATTAATTAACACACATTAATTTACTTTCTCCATACTTGTTTGTTTTTTCATTATTTTTAAGTCACAAAGCAAAAAAAAAAAAAAAAAAACACTTACAATTTGACTGCATTTCACTTATGTCTTTGTCAATCTGAGTGTCTTTATTTTGAATGTCAGTGAGGTAGTTAGAAGGGGTAATATAGGAAGAAAAAATGTTACAAAACATAACACCATTATTACAACTTATTTTTTGGTTTTGTAATTTGATGTATTCCGAGGTGAAAGAGTCAGGGGCGGAGCTAGAGGGATACTAAAGAAGTTAATCAATCATCATGAGATGCAAACTCGTGACATTATAATTCGAATTGTAATAATTTAGTTAGGTAGAGTATTTCAGTAAAGAGGAAGTCATGTGAAACTCGTTTCCACTTAATCTAAGGCTAATTTTCATAATATTGACACAAAAAATGATCAGTCATTAGTAGCTACCTACCATAAGTGAAGGCTAGTTTTTTTGTAGTATAGAGAACAAATATGAGATATTTTATGACAATTTGAAATCTCATTTTCTTTACCCCACAGTACTTTTAGCACTCAAATACATTTTTTGTTTTCCATCTATAAATAGAACCACCAACTTCTACTCATTCATTCACTTCTTGTTTTTCTTTTATGTTTTCTTGAGATCTCAAGAAATGGAGCCCAAAAATATGCAAAGTTCACCACTGAAACCTTACAAATATTTGTTGGGAACACAGATTTTGTTGAGAATTTTGGCTACAATATTCACGTTGGCGTCTACTTGGATTATATTAACCAGCAAACAGACTGTTACTATATTTGGCCTTGAGATGGATGCACGCTATAGTTATTCTTCAGCTTTCAAGTAAATGAAAATCTAAAGCAAATATTTGTGTTTTTTTTATTGGAAGTTTTGAATTTTAGTGTGGTTCTGTGTGCAGGTTTTTTGCTTTTGCAAATATGATTGGATGTGCCTTCTCTGTTTTGTCTCTGTTTCTTGCCTCTGTTTTAGGACATAAAGGTCTTGTTCCAAAGAATTCCTTTTACATGTTCCTTCATGATTTGGTACGTACAACTTTTACCTTTATTGTAATTGATTTGTTATGAAGGTGCTCGTATTCTCCATAAATGTTGATGCACCTGTACTTTCAAAAGAGGCTGAGCAACTTGTCTTGAAATCGTACTACAACAATAATAACATACTCAGTGTAGTCCCACTAGTAGGGTCTGAGAAGGTGGTGTGTACCCGTATACGCATACCTTACACCCCTACCTTGTGAAGGTGGAGAGGTTGTTTTGGTAAACCCTCGAGTCAAGTAACACATATTGAGGGTCTGGAAATAATACCCTTTTTTTTAATCACTCAATATTTTCCAAATATACCTTTCTTTCCCCATCCTAGAATTTCATACAATATTTATTTGTCCATAGTATATAAGTTTGTTATGTCATGTAAGAGGCATTGATTGTCTTGCTGTCTCTTCATTTGGTTCTATTCTTATGATGAGGCTTAATCCTACACTCACTTACAATGCATTTCTCAAGTTATATATAATTATTATGTTGGGATACTGATGAATCTTGATGTGTCTCAATACTGATGAATATGACTGTGGTGTATGGGTAAGCTAGCTTTCACACACCTCTTCTTGTATCAGTTATTGTCATCGTTAAAAAATGAAAATTAGAAGCTAGAGACTTAAAAGTGGTAGACGTTGGAATAAATGGTGCTAGCTAGTATGAATGTATGACCTTTCTCTGTTAGGCCCTTTAGGACCACTCAAACACCAAGTTTTTGGATTGCAGCCTTGACATTGCACTATCAAATATCAATGAAATATAACCTTTCTTATTTTTAGGTTATTAATCACATAATTTATGAATAGTTATCTGTAATTATATTTAGCTCACATAATAGGAGATTGTAAAATTCTGGTTACACCTGTGGAATGAGTAATAGTTACACTAAACTCAAAGTCATGTATAAACCAGACATTTGCATTATACACTATTTCTATTAGTATAAAATTTGAAGCAGTAATGTGAATGTTGGAATTTTGTGGTGAGCGCAGATTGTGATGGCAGTGCTGCTAGCTGGATGTGCAGCAGCAACAGCAGTTGGATATGTGGGGAAATATGGAGAGATGCATTCAGGATGGATGCCCATTTGTGAACATGTTGACAAATTCTGTCACAAAGTAACAAATAGTGTCATGCTTTCCTACTTTGCTGTGTTTTTCTACCTTTGCCTCACCATTATCTCAGCAAATCAATCCACACAGATTCAAGTTTAACATTTCAGAAATATCATTTTCTTAACGATACATATCAGAAGTTGAAACAATGATGCAAGGGTATTCATTAAGGGCTTCCTCAGGCCAAATGCGCGTGCGTTGTATGTTAGTTTTTGGCTCTACTATGTACAACATATTTACTGATATATCAATCTTTTAGTTTGTGTACTTAGTCATGTTCTTTCTCATGTTACAAATTAGAATTACAATTAATCACAACCAAAAAGGACCATTTTATAAAAGTTCAACGTAAAGCTTCAAAATCTTCTTGTAATTGGAAACGATCAATCTCTTATAACCAAAAAGGAACTAGAAATCAAAGCCAAATAAATTTAAAAAATAAATAGATAATGATCATTATTAGCGCATTCTGGCTGGAAGAGTGGGGGATAATGGTTTGTTTGATCAAACATGGTTCAAGACTTAAAAAGTGTAATTTTCTAAAATGATATAGTAATAATTATTTTGGACCTATTATTTTTAGTATAGGTAACAACTAAAAAGGATGGCAGGGGGTAATATATATTATGTACTTAGGGGTCGTTTGGTAGCTGGATAAAACAAGCCTTATTCATGTATTAGAGTCTGTAAAACATATACGACGTTTGGTAGATGGATAAGAAAAAAGTTATTCATATATATAATTAATACGATGTTTGGTAGGTGGATAAAAAACATGTATATTATTAATACAACGTTTGGTTGACAATTTTGAAATTCACCTAACTAATACATGTATAAGTTGTGAGGAAATTTGTATATTATTTATGCAAAGTAGAAGCTGGAATAACTAATACGTGTATAGCTAATACATGGATAAAAAGTTAAAATGACTATTATTCTTATCACTCACTTGACTACTTTCTTCTTTAATTTTACATAATTAAAGAAATGTTTTAATTTAAATACAAAGTTAAAGAAGGAAAGAATATAATTGTATAAAAATGTTAAAATTAAAAAATATATATATAATTTTATTAATTTTTAATATAAAAAACAAACATCGAAAGGAATAATTTATGCATAATTAAACTCCGCATAACTAAACTTTGTATAACTAATACCTGCATAACTAATATTCACATTACTAATACCTGCATAACTAATACCCACATTACTAATTAAACTCCGCATAACTAAACTTTGTATAACTAATACCTGCATAGCTAATACCCACATTACTAATACCTGCATAACTAATACTCATATTACTAATACATGTATAACTCTATCCAACTACCAAACGACCCCTTGGGGTGTTTGGTATGAAGACAAATGTTTTTCATAGAATTTTTTATTGAAAAATAATACTTAAGTAATTTTTAATTTATTTTTTTAATATTTTGTAAGTAAACCAGAAAATATTATATAACATCATTTATATATAATCTAAAAATTGAAACACTAGGGAAGAATTGGGTGAGGTGTGGAGCGGAGGGTGTTAGATATTCAACATGGTTAATCCAAGTTCATAGTAGGATACAAAATATATAAAAATTAGTAGGATCGAATGTATTTGAGTCATAGTTGATTGTAGAACGTATGAGGTCTTCTTCTCTATTATCTTATTCATTAAAGTGGCAATGAGACAACAAACTCACACTCTCATATGTCGATAGTGATGATACAAAAGAGTCAAAGAGGTGTCTTATATATGATTAAAAAAGAGAACCTAATTGCAATTATTGAAACTTTAATGGATCCACCCATTATGAATCTCATTGGGTTAAACCTACATTCATCGCCTCACTAGACCCATCAAGCACACAAAATGCACAATCCAATTTCCAATTATCATTCTTACTATTCGATTTATGTTCTAGACTAATATACTATCCGAAAATAGTTAAAATATAAGAAAAATGTTTTAAATAATGTAGGTCTGTTTTTCTAACTAAGGTGAAGTTATGTGGGGGTAACCAATGTTCTAGATGAAGAGGATACAATGAATTTCAAATGTAACTTTACTCCTGATAGAGGAATCATCTTCGTGATTTTTAAGAAATTTATTTTTCTACAGATTATATTTTATTTTATTAACCTACCAAACATGAGAAAAATTCTATTTCTTAAATTAGTAATATTTAAAAAATAATTTAACCTATCAAACATGAAAAAAAAAATATAATTTGAAAAATGGTTTCTTCCGTAGGAAATCCACCCATAGTTTTATTAAGTTTTGCTGCATACAAATCAGGGCAAAAATGCTTTTTTCGTTAGCAGCCTTTGTATAATTAGTACTCCTATATAGTACTATCGTTAGTTTTATTCGATTTTTCTAAATTTAGGTAACTGACTACAGGAAAACTAGATAGACTTTTTTCAGAGTTATTTTTTTGTTGTCAAAATTGAGCAATTATTAGGTAACCAAAAATATGTTTCAATTAGTACAACTAGAATTTTTACTAGTCAATTCTATTCCTTGCAAATAAATATCTTTAATTAATTAATCTTCTTCTCCTACTTTTTTCTCTTTGTGAAATGGGATAAAGCTCATTTATTAATGAACATGCTATGTACCATCTCTCCATGCTTTGACTGCATTTAACAAAGTCTTCATCAATATATTCTAAGAACGGTAGAGGCAACAATATGAATGAAATTACAAAGAAATATAAACATTAAATGTCTGAAAGTTATTTAATATTTTTTCTTTATCTTCTAAAAATTGCAATACTATAAACTTGTGATATTTTGCTCCCCCCACAATTGTAGAAGAAAGTAAATTTTGTCTCAAGATAGAATTCAAGATTTTAAGTTTATAATTCTAACAACTCACCACCAAACCTACCATCCATTTATGCTACTTAGTTTATAATTTATTTTTATATGTATATGTTAAGTGGATTTCACCTTTATATATATAAGATTTGAATTCAGATTAATGAATTTTATCGGACCGTACTTTTTGTTCTAATTTAGGCATAATGTTAACACAAAAATGAGAAAAAATATGTCCATATGATGTACCTAAACCGATTATAAGATGGTGGAGAGGATTTTGTGGCGTTTAGTTAGGGTAGTGGCAGGAGCCAGTTGAAACATGGAGTTGATAGTTAGTTTAATTTTGTACTTTTGATATTTACGATTTTTTGAGAAGTTAGGATGGACTCGAACTAAAGCCTATTTATTTATATTAAGATTAAGATATTTTAAATATGAATGTATGTGTGAATGATTAAAATGTTAATTTTTTTCAACATATGTGCGTAATTTATTTATTTTTAAAATAATAAATATTAGAAAAATATATAATTTGATAAAATGAAATTATTTTTTTATTTTAAAAATGAAATATTTATGTTTGTAAGTGATAATAAAAATGGTATATGTGATGTTGATGGTTGGTGTTATGACTAGAAATGATGATGGTGATAGTTATATGTGGAGGTAGTTGGTGTTGCAGCGACTGGCACGATATTAGTAATTAACGATATTGAAATGATGATTAAAGAATATATTGATTAACAAGGATATTAATAATAACCGATGATAATACTAATTGTAATGATGGAGATGGTAAGAGGATGTGGTAGCGGTAGCGTCTATGCATATGGTGATAGATGTGGTACCTAATTCATGTACTCATCGAAGTTATTCTAACTTTATACTAGTAATTTCACAAAGCAAATTGGTTTTGAATTCTGCCTTTTCTGAAAAATTTGGATGTCTAACTCCCAATTTGTCACAATTTTGATTGTCGGTTGGTTAATTTGTCTTGATTTGAAAATTATTACACTCTAATTCTTATTTTTTTTACATACGCGCTCTGTCTAATAATAGTGGTTTATTATTGAGTTTGCACATTTCTTAAGAAATTATAGAACGATAATTTTACTATATTAATCTTTCAATATAATAAATACAATGTTTTGAAAAAAAAATATAATAGAGAAATGACTATAATTAATGATAATAGTAAATATTTAGGAACGCTATTGATTTCAATAAGTGAACAAGTATTGTAGGATATTCCAAAATAAATTAGTGGACAAGTATTGCTGGAGGGGGAGGGGGTAATTATTACTACCTCCATCCACTTTTAATTGTCATAATTTCCTTTTTTTAGAGTCATACTATAAAAACTTTGACTAGCATTTTACAATGTATTTTTTCATCATATTGATATGCAAATAATTGCAATTTATAGTACTTTTCGAAAAGTTTTGAATATCTAAATTTTTTGTTTAAAATATCAAATTATTATAATTTAATTTAACTTTGAAAATTAGTCAAATTGACTTTTGAAAAGCACAAGATGATAAATAAAAGTGGACTAAGGGAGTAATTAACTTCATGGAAGACTCCAATCGATAGGATAAACGAGAAATACTCCCTCCATCCATTTTTATTTGTCATGTTGCACTTTTCAAAAGTCAATTTGACTAATTTTCAAAGTTAAATTAGATTACATTATTTTTTTAAAAAATTAAAAATTAGATTACATTAATTTGATATTTTAAATAAAAAATATAGATATTCAAAAATTATGCTATAAGTTGTAATTTTTTGCATACAATATGAAAAAATACACTGTAAAATGTTAGACAAAATTTTTATAGTTTGACTCTAAAAAAAGGAAAATTATGACAATTTAAAGTGGATAGAGATAGCAAGTAATTAAAAGAATTTTATTTATTTTCTCCGAGAATTAATGCATTTTTGTTACTAGGGAGGCAGTTTTAAAACTTGGTAGCATTTTTTTCGGTTTTGAAAATGATCCATTAACATGAATCATCTTTCTCTCTCTATAAATAGCACTACCAACCTCCACTCGCTGCCAACTTCTTCATTCAGTTTTTGTTTTTCTCTTCTCTTCTCTTTTCTTCGGATCCTAAAAAATGGAAAACTTTGGTGCCAAAAATAGGCAAAATCAAAATACCCAAAACCCACCAATGAAATCTGACAAATGTTTGTTGTCAACACAAATTTTGTTGAGAATTTTGGCAATTGCATTCACATTGGCAGCCACTTCGATGATTCTCACAAGCAAACAGGCGGTTACTGTATTTGGCATTGAAATGGATGCACGCTATAGTTATTCTTCAGCTTTCAAGTAAACCCAAGATCAAACAACAAAATTATTTTTTTTGGTTTTGCTTTGTTTTTTTTTTTTTAATCTTAAATTTGGGTATTGTTTTGCAGGTTCTTTGCTATTGCAAATATGATTGGATGTGCCTTCTCTGTTTTGTCCTTGATTTTGGCCTCTGTTCTTGGCCATAAAACTCCTGACCCAAAGAACTATTTTTACATGTTCATTCATGATTTGGTACGTACAAAATATTCTTCATTTTTTCATCATGTTCATTCACAATCACTAATTATTAGTAGATCTGGGAAAATTCTTAGTACAATTTTGCATTCATTGAAGTTTACAAGTAACGTCACTCAATATGCATTTTAATGCCTAAAACTTGCAATGCATTTTGATTTTTGCGGGGACAAAGACAGGTAGTATTAATGTGTATGGTTGAAATTGTGTTTAATGTATATAATAAATATTGAACCTTTTTGACTTTTTTATATGTTTACTTTTCTATTTTGAATATTTTAGTGAAAATTCTGACTCCGCCACTAAATATACAAGTCTTTTGAGAAAATTGGTGAAAATTCCTTACTCTTTTAGTCAGAAGCCTAACAAAATTTTCACCTACATTCGCGGTAACCGTTTGTAGTAATTGTTATCAAGTGTGTACACAATATAAAACAAGTATTTACTCACTATATAACATATATGGAATGTAATACGTGTATAATCATGTATAATGTATTACACACTAATAATACTAAATTTATTTTTTATTGTGAACTTTGTTGGACTAGTATGTAGTGTTAAAATCACAAAGATAACGCTCGTCTACATGTGAATCCTTACTGTCTATGTCGCGCGTCTTTTTGATTTTGAAATAGTAATGTGAATGTTGGAATATTTTTGTTGTGAGGGCAGATTACGATGGCATTGCTACTGGCTGGATGTGCAGCAGCAACAGCAGTTGGATATGTGGGAAAATATGGAGAGAGTCATTCAGGATGGATGCCAATTTGTGATCATGTTGACAAATTTTGTCGCAAAGTTTCACATAGTATCATGCTTTCTTATGTTGCAATGATACTCTACCTTTGCCTCACTATAATATCTGCAAATCAATCCAGAAAAATCATAGTTTAACAAGTAGAAACAAAAAACAATGATCAATATGATTTGATCAATGTTCTGGTTTTATATATTAGTGTTGTTTTAGTTTTTGGTGTAATCATTACTTGCTTCTAGTTGCTAGCTACTTTTTAATTATATTATCCTTAGTTTAAGTTTTGTAGCTATCTTGTTCTATGTGCATTATTGGACTTAGCTATTGCTTATGTGAAATTGAGAGTGGCATCTAACTGTTTTGATAAAATATAGAGAAGTATTCAGATCAGTCCTGCAAAGGTTACTAACTATTCTAAATTATTCAATATGTATTGTGATTAATAGTTTATTTTCAAAAACAATCAATTTTAAAGGTATGAAGATTAAATTTTTTAATTAATTTCATTTTAATTTTGTAAATCGATATATTTTTAGATAAATATTTTTAATAATATCAACAACTAATGTGAGACGGAAAGGGTACACTGGCAAGATTGAAAACAAAGCTCATGAAACACGGTAAATGTGTCTCATACCTAATTCTCTAATGCCATAAATATATAAACAAGTTATTTATTCTACCTTATGAGTTCTTTTAATACTCTACTTATAGCACCAAATTAATTAAAAATTAAAGACGGTGCAGTGCATTGGTCTGGAGGGAATCGTTTTGTTGAGAGAAAAATTAAACAATGCATTTATTGGAGAATAACTAAAGAATTATTATGCTTGAATATTTATAATATTTAAAACTAAGATATTTTTCTACGTTTCAAAATGAATAAATTTTTTAAAGTTAAAAGATGTATTAGTTAATCTTTTTTTCTTCAAAATTACCCTTTTTCTAATGGAATTTTCAACTATTTTTAGTTTTAAAAAAAGTTTGAGAATAAACAAATTAATGCCATTGACTAACTTTGTTAAGAAGTGTGTCACGTCTTAAAAATTTATTTCTTTTGATATTGAGAGCATAATTAATTAAGCTTAGCATCATTGGTTACATCTATTCTGGTTACGTATCTAGATTATTATGTAATTAATTACATTTTTAAGAATATAAGTATTTATTAGTCTGTCAATCAACAACTTATGAAGTGGCGATGCCAACACCAACATTTATGATTTAAGGAATTTATTTTAGTTGGCTATGAGAATTATAATACTTGCATCTGTCCTATTAATTATTCTTGCAAGGTTCGTTGCATCTTTTTATTAATTTTAAAGTCCAATTCTTTAAATATCCACATTATTTCTACATGCTTTGATTTTAGGCCAGAACTTCTGGATTATTGAGAAATGTTTATCATAGTAAAAAAAAGGGTTCACCAATCATATACAAAAGGACGAAAAAAAATTATTGGTTCAAATGCATTCACCATCTTTGAATCATATATACTAGTATTATATATAGACACACAAATCTAGATTTCTTTTTGTTTTTTTAAAAAAAATTTAGTACTATCATTTTTACACGTAAGAGATCTGAAATGCCTTTTTTTCTATTAAAAGTTCACTAAATGATAAGAGAAAGCATAGTTTTGCAAACTTCAGCGTCACCAGCAAACGATTTGGCACAAAACGAAAACAATCATGATATGTAATTTGATATAACTTACATCAATATGTTTATTAAGTTGAGGAAAAAGAGAGAGTTGTTAAGGCATATCATGTCATATCTTATTCACCTAATAAATGTGTGCAATTCATCTAACACGCCATACTACAAATACAACATATTGTACTTGTTCGAAGATGATTGTTAACTAATCTAGTCATTAAAAGTATATTATTAGCACGCTACATATGCTAAACCTAAAGTTTATATTCATATTTTGTTTTCAATCTCATTCACATCATCACATGTATAGGGTTTTAAACAAAATACTTGAAAATAAGATTTCTCTCCTTAGTTTTGTTCCATTATAATAAGATCTTAATTCGAATAAAATGGCAGTTTTAACTCTTTAAGAATATTATGGTAATTATTTTGGTTTTAGATCTAGCTAAGAATTCATTGGAGAAAAGTGAGAACCCAAGCCATTTATTTAAGAAAAATTGGACAAAAAAGATTTCAGCCCATTTAGAAATGAGGCTCAATAATCAAGCCTCTCTGGGCCGTTAGCCTGTAAGGCCCAAAGAAAGGAAGAACAGATTAATTATATTTTAAAAAACAAAATAGGAAAATTTACAGAAATCCCACCTTTTAGTTTACTTATTACCATTATCCCCTATAAATTTTACAAATTTCCAAAATTCCTCATTTTCGCGCATCAGATTAGTGTATCTCGCACATGATCAGATTAATGTATCAGCGCTTATATTATTGTATCTCGCGCATCAGATTAGTGAATCATGTATAAAATGTAATGTATCTTACTTAACGATTAATGTATCTTGCGCATCAGATTAATGTATCAGCGCTTATATTATTGTATCTCGCGCATCAGATTAGTGAATCATGTATAAAATGTAATGTATCTTACTTAACGATTAATGTATCTTGCGCATCAGATTAATGTATCAGCGCTTATATTATTGTATCTCGCGCATCAGATTAGTGAATCATGTATAAAATGTAATGTATCTTACTTAACGATTAATGTATCTTGCGCATCAGATTAATGTATCAGCGCTTATATTATTGTATCTCGCGCATCAGATTAGTGAATCATGTATAAAATGTAATGTATCTTACTTAACGATTAATGTATCTTGCGCATCAGATTAATGTATCAGCGCTTATATTATTGTATCTCGCGCATCAGATTAGTGAATCATGTATAAAATGTAATGTATCTTACTTAACGATTAATGTATCTTGCGCATCAGATTAATGTATCAGCGCTTATATTATTGTATCCGTTTGAGGGATTTCTGTAATTATAAACTTTTAAGGGATAGATTGTAATTTTGCCTTAAAAATATGTGATTCCTGTAATTTGCCCAAAAAAATATCACAAGTAAATTAGACAAAAAATTATGAATAAAAGAATGTACTAAATACTAATCATATTAAAAATTAGAGTTTTACTTTTTTGTCTTAAAAGTCATATTATGTTGAATTTCTTTTGAAAGTGATTTGGATAATTGAACAAAGATAATAATTTATATATTTTTTTATTTTTTTTGAATTGATTTGTTTCTGTAATGTGAGTTTATGCAAGAATGATGTAATAGAGAACTCTATTTAAGACACCATTATTGTATTGTACCAAAAATATTAGACTGTGGTCTAATATCAATAAAAGAATTTTAGAACGCAAACTAATTTTCTTTCACAAATTTTCGATTTACTCAAAAAATGAATCTTTAGACGGTGATCTAAAAGATTTCGAAGTTGCTAAAGAAATGAAAGAAAATCATTTATTAAAATATGTGTTTGAAAAAGGAACGATTGGCGAAAATTTCTCGATATGAAAGAGAATAACTTGATCTATATCGAGAGAGTATTGGAATATTTTAAGATATAAGGCAATCGTAAAGTCATGAGAGAATAAAATAGATTTGACTTGATACATATTATTAGGACTTTAATAGACAGATGATGATCAAATTATTTATTCTCTTGCTTTTATTCTTCTTCAAATTATTTCAAGTGATGAGGGGAATGTCAAACAGACAGCTTGCTTCAAATGTGTCAATTTTTGAGAGTTTTAAACATCAAGAATATCAACAACTGATTATTAATGTAATTAGTCAATATATAATATATGACGAGAGGGAGTTGCTTGGATGGTAAGCACCTCTCACTTCCAACCCGAAAGTTGCGAGTTCGAGTCACCAAAGGAGCAAAAGAGATGGGAGCTTCTAGGGAGGGATGATAAAAATAAAATATATAAATATAGTTCGACTAGAAAACCTAAGTACTTTTAACGTACCATAAATACAATTATTGTTATAATTTAACTTAAGCCACTTTAAAGAATATTTTTTTATAGTCTGCATGAAGATATGATTCTTGATATATATGATAGAGAACAATGAAATCATTATTCGTGAAAATCTTACACGAACAAAAAGTTATATATTTATGAAAAAAGGACAATTTGTTACATTAACAGACTTTAATGGCCTAGATCACCCACTTTGCCTATGTAATTTTATACACTAGTAAGCACAGTAAGTCTTTAGTATGCTTAACCTCAGTAATTAAGGAGCTAATTTTCTAGTTGTTAGATTATAATATTCTTGAGTTTACAAGTTGATTTGATAATCAAAATATGCCTTGCGTATTTTATCACTTCCATTCATTAATTCATCTCACCTTTATGTCTACCTCGTATTAAGTCAAAGTCTATATTTCGTATAAACATCATATATATACAAAAATGAACATTATAAGGAGACAATGGCTGGTCCCTAGCACAAATAAGAATATGTTCCTTCTCTCTCTATATATAAATTCAAATAGAGAAGAACAACACGTGGTAAATCTTGTAAATCAAAGAGGTATTTTAAGTTGTGTGTCATTTTATATTATCAGATCACTTAAAATTAAAGATAAATTTAATAAGTAATCATTCATAATAATAAATAGAATTAATTATAACATGTTAAATAAAATAGATAGTCTGCGATAAATGGTTTAAGTACAATAATATATAGTGTAAGAATTTCTTATAATGAGTCGGGAATATAATTAAGTTAAATGCTTTAATCTAATCCGCTTCCACCTAGTAGGCAATAGCTAGAGGGGTATAAGGGGTTCATCTAGTACTCCTTTACCAGAAAATCACATTTTTTCTCGACATATGTATATATAGTAAATAATAAACCTCCTGTGTGAAAATCTTTGATCTGCCACTGTCCAACCATATTACCAACCTTGCCTATATATAGCATGCTTTGGATGAGTCATTAATAAGAGAGCTAGCCCAAGTAGAAATTAATTTATAGATAGAGGTCTTGTATGAATTAAGAATATAAGAGCCTGCTAGCTCTGGTAGCCAAGGATGACTAATTGCCTGATTAAAATATCTTTATGTAGGATTAATTTGATTATGATCTCATCAATTAATCCTTCAAAGATGATTATAACTAGGTGTCATCCTTGTCTAATTAATTG